AGTGCGTTTCCATTCAATTAAATTCAATCTCGCGATTATCATTTGAAATTCTAATTCCTGCGATTGCAACCCAAAGAACTCTATTTTGATTAATTGTTGTTTATTTGATTTATACCTCTTACGGATTTATAACAATAAGAGTACTACAATGTTAATTATAATAATGATAATAATAATTCAAATCATTTCAGGGAGCCGAGCGACCTGTACGACTGGTTCAAGGGCTGGGAGGACCTGAAGCCGGCCCTGGTCGATCAGGTGCTGCCCACGCAGCGCATACTCATGCTCGGCTGCGGCAATTCCAGTTACTGCGCTTCCCTCCTGTCATCTCTTTCTTGACTCTTGGTGCTGACAACAGCTTCACTCCAACCCACCAGAGCTGAGCGAGGACATGTACAACGATGGCTACAAGGTAGGTGCATGCGAGTAGTTGGTTCGTTGGATGAGCGCCGCTTGTGCTCATGGCCGCCATGTGCAGAACATCGTCAACAACGACTTCTCGGAGATTGTGATCGAGAACATGAAGCAAAAGTACAAGGAGACGGCTCCCGATATGGACTGGCTGGTGATGGACGTCATGGACATGAAGGAGCTCCCCGATGCCTCCTTCGACGTGGCCATCGACAAAGGTGCCGCTCCATCCCATCAATCACTCGCCGCTTCCTTGTTCTGAAAACAATTCTCACACCCTCCGTACGCCGCACGTATCGATCAGGCACCATGGATGCCATCATGGTATGTCATACAGTCTCCGCCTTGCTTGCCCAGTGCAGTGCAGCTCACCTTGCGTTCCTTGTGTGCGGTGCTTCAGTGCGAGAAGGGCGACTCGTGGGAACTCGACCCCAAGATCGCTGAGCGCTGCCACCTCATGTGCGCCGAAGTCGCCAGGTACCTGTCGAACCTGCTATGGTTGCCTATTATCTTTCTCATCATCATCATCGCCATCATCGTCGTTGTCATTGCCTCTCAACAACGTCATGTGTCGCTGCCGTGTCTTTTTCGATGGCACAGGATATTGAAGCCGGGCGGCAAGTACATTCAGATCACATTCGGGCAGCCCCACTTCCGCAAGCGAGTACTGGTCAAGCCTGAGTACAATTGGGAGCTCCAGACGCGCACCGTCGGTACGCCACACAAGCACCCGAGCGTGTGCGCACGCGCTGGTGATGTGTGAAGTGACCCCAAACCTCACCTCCTTGCGTGCGTTTGTGATGCGCGCAGGCGAGTTCTTCCACTACTTCATCTACATCATGACCAAGGCCACCACGAGCGAGCCCGCCACCACCGAATCTTCCTAGGCCTTTCCTTCCTCCTTCCTCTTCTTGTAGAACATGATGATGATGATAATGATCGTGTGTAGAGACCAGAGATGGTGGTTGTTGCACGAACAATAACGTCCCGAATGAATGGGTGGATTGGGGGGGGGGCTCAAAAGGTGGTCGGTCAATGGTCGACAACAACCGTGAATTGGGCGATTGGTTGGCGGACATTCCCAGTTTGATCCCATTGGCACCTGGCGCACGGAACAAAATAGTTTCGAACTACAGTCGTCGGAAAGTCAAAGGGGGCAAAAGCCCTTCCCAACTCCGGCATTTTTTTCGTCTTGCCTGCCCCGTTCACACCAACGCCAGTAAGACACCCGAGCGAGGGCGCAGGATCGGGGCGCTGAAGATTGCAAGTGAAAAGGTTCTTAATTGATTTCATCATATATATCATTTACAAACAGTTCATCTTCCATCTTTTCTACCTTGGCGATCGCTTTCTTCCACATCTCTGGAGTGACGTGCTCCACACCTTCCTTTGTCAATCGTTCGATCTCCCCCATCGCAAATTGCCGTCGGTTTCGTGCTACATAGCCCTTCACGATTCCCCACATGTTTTAGATCGGGTTGAAGTCGGAATGGTAGGGGGGGAGGAAGATGATGTTGTGTCCATAACGGCGTGCTATTTCGTAGATGGCTGGAGGTGATGCCTCGTGGGCCTCTTTTGCAGTGTGGTAGAGTTTCTCTCGTGTCCATCCTGCTTCCCATTCGATTTGGTGGTGCGAGAGGTAGCGTTGGAGTTGGGATTTCTGAAGATTACTGAAGGTTCGCCCCTCGAAGATCTCTTTCTCTGCGACACTCACCATCTTGACCTTGTGGTAGCCAGCATTATCCATTACAAAGGTTGATGGCTTGGGAATGGCACAGCAGACCTTCTCCTCAAACCATTTCACAAAAATCAAGTGATCAACATTCTCATGGTAATCAGTGGTCTTTGACTTTGACTTCTTCACAACCCACATCTGCTGTGCTCCTGGTATCCATCCTTTCTCTCCTCCAGCGTGCAGAAGTATGAGTCACTGACCCTTCCCTGCTGGTGTGCCAACTGCATTCCCTTCCAGTCAGAGGAACCAGGTGTAGTTTGGCACATGGTTCTGATGGATGTAGGTTTCATCAAGGAAGTAGGTAGGCCGCTGATGTCCTTCTGCCCTCTCCATCACTCTCTGGTCAATGTACACTCACCGCCAAGCCTGTACTCTCTTGCTCTCAAACAACTCTCCTTTCTTCTTCACTTCACCCCATTCAAATCCCATCTTGCAAATGTAGTGGCACAGACACTCTTTGTTGACTTCAACTCCTTTCTCCTCCTTCAACCACCACACTAGGCGAGCCATCAAAGCCAGACTTCCTGCTCTATTCCAATCTCAAATCTGCTGTGCTGCTTCCTTTAATGTCTCATGCTCAATCTTTGGACCCTTGAGCCACTTCCATTGTTTCTTCTTCTTCTCCAGCATCTCCTTCTCCACATAAACCTCAGTAATCAGTTCTTGCATCTTCCTCCAACTTATTCCTACCCACTTGCACACCACTTCCCTGGTGTTGTTCACCCCCAGCAAAGATGCATGGGCCCAAAGTCACAAGATGATGTTGATCAAATCTTGGGATAGTGGATGCCCAGAGACTGAGATGGAGTAGTTTGCTAACACCTCCAACAACTGTTGCTTCTCTTCACCTTGCACCCTCTTCTTTGTTTTCTCCTCATCCTCCAGCATCTTCAATAAATTTGATTGTTGCTGAGCAGAAAACAGTAGGCACTGGTTGTTCTTACTCTCACCTATGTTGACCAAATATGACTTTTTTTGCCCCCTTTGAGTGTTTGGGGACTGTAACACAGCAAAGGGGCACAACTACTCCCTTCCCTCTCGTGTGCGACATCTACTGCTACAAATACACCCGAGGTACAACAACGCCCAACCGACTTTTGCTCCTGCGACTTCGTTGGATCTGACAGGAAAAAGTGATCCTTCATCATTCGAATTAATTGAAAGGAATAATCGACAGGATGGCAGCGATCGCAGCAATGTGGCGTGATTTGGTAGAGAACTATTCGGAGCGAACGTTGTGGATGGCGGGGGCGGCCCTGCACACCGTCACCTTCGTTGCATTCAATGTAGGCCTCTACTTCATGCATCGATACCAAATTCTGGCTCGCTACAAGATTCAACCGCTCAAATACCCAACTGAGGAGCTCATCCGCAAAGGACTCGTGGTACGTGTGCACAGCTGCTCGTTCCCTGATTCCTTTTGCAATCGATTAGACAGATTTGCGTTCCATTTCTTGTTCCATTTTGAGATGCGGGTGAAGAAGCATGTGACTTAGCAGCATCCTGCAGGACGTGTCGATCAAGCATGCCCTGGCGCCCTTCGTCTTGTATCTTTTGTGGCCTCTGGCGGAGCGATGTGGAGTACACGCAACCCCCGAGCTGCCCTCCATCACCGAGGTTGGCACCCGCGTTCCTCTCTACTCTTCTTCTTCTCTCTCTCTCTCTGCTTACCACACCACTTCCGCCTCATCAGGTGATGGTTCATCTGCTCGTGCACATCCTGGTGCAAGACACCATCTTCTACTGGACGCATCGACTACTGCACCAGCCCTTCCTCTACAAGCGCATCCACAAGCAGCGTACGTCATCCTGTCCCTGCTTCCGCTGGGCCTGCTGACCCGCCCCTTCTCTTTGCTCTCACAGACCACCAGTTCTACACGCCCGTGGGGATCGCGTCTGAGTACGCCCACCCAGCGGAAGACTTCCTCACCCAGGTGGCCTTCATCGCTGGGCCGCTCATCATGGGCTCGCACATCTTCACTCTCTACCTGTGGCTCCTTCTGCGTCTATGGGAGACTGGTAACCTCCCATCACCGCTCCTTACCACGCCATGTCGTCTCTCATGTCTCACATCATCGTTCCCGCAGTCGATGCGCACTCTGGCTACGCGTTGCCGTTCCCTCTGTCGCCGTTCTCGCTGTTCGGCGTGGCCGACCAGCACGACTACCACCACTCGCAGAACAAGGGCTGCTATGGCTCGTTCTTTGGGCTCTGGGATTGGTACCGCTGTCCTCTCTTCTTCTGCCCGCCTCTCACTGCGCTGACCTCTGCCACCACCGCAGGATCTGTGGCACCGACGCCGACTACAAGAAGTGGAAGGCGGGCAAGGCCGTCAAGCGAGTCACCACAGACGCGGCCAAGGCCAGAGAGCAGTAATTCGCCTCCCCCTCCCCTCTGCTGCTCTGCCAGCCGCCCTCTCCCCATCCTCCATCCCTTTTTTGCCGCATTGTAATTAATTACTGATAATTGCAAGTTCCACACTCTCTGCCCGCGTTCAAGCTTCTCGTTTCCCCCGGTGCTCTACGGGTTGATGTGGGCATCGTCTTCGTCGGCCTCGTCGCGGGAGAGCAGAGGCACCGAGCTGTCGGTAGTCTCGAACATCCTCGAGTAGACGGTGCTCATGTTGGCCCCCTCGAGCATAGCCCGGCGGTGGTAGATCCAGGCCACCAGCGCGACCACGAGCAGCACCAGCACGCCCCCGCCGCCGACCAGGCCCAGCACCACCACCAGCCGCGGCCCGCTCTGCTCGTTGCTGGGCGCTGGCGGCAGCGGTGCGAGAGAGACCGCAGCCGTCGAGGGCGAGGCCAATGGCCAGGCCGAAGCCGAAGCCGAAGCCGAGGCGGTCGGTGAGCGAGAGGCTGCGGGCGAGTGGGAGGCGGCGTGGGTGGACGAGGCGGAGGCGGAGGGAAGAGGCGAGGGAGAGGGAGAGTGGGTGGTTGAGGCCGGGGGTGGAGTGTGAGTGTGAGTGTGATTGGGAGAGGCCGAGGCGGGTGCAGCTGACGGTGCGACCGCCGAAGGATATAAATAGGAGGATGATGAAGGCGAAGATGAGGGTGAGGGTGATGTAGATGAGGGTGAAGGTGACATGGCAGCTGTCGGGAGCGAGGACGGTACTGCCGAAGCTGATGATGCTGTTGGTGAAGCTGACACATCTTCTCCTGAGGCCGCCGTGGCGCACAGCGCAAGCAACAGCACAAAATATAGGACTGCATGACACTTCACTTGCCCCTCACCTCCTTGCGGCCCGCGAGCACTCTTGTTCGTCTTCATCACCGATCTCTCTTCGTCTTGTCTTCTGAACCGTCGCACCAAAACCAGTTTGCCCTGAAAATGATCATTTTCTTTTCATTCCTCTTCTTTTTTCTGGCGAACCAGAATTCAGATCTAGACGAAATCAAAGAGTACCGCAAGAACGGAAAACCGAAAATTGTGTTCAGGGCGCCCCAGAGAAGACGCGTTCGCGATCTCGCGAGGCAAAAGAGAGTGAATTGAATTTGTTGTCGATTCCATTTCCGGTTAAGGGCCATCGGGAGGTGTAACGCATCACAGAATGGTATGCATCTCGCGGCTTGGCTGTGCTACCTTTCGTGTGAGCTCATTTTGCCTTCCTTCTATCGAACAGTCAGAAGCGGGCGAATATGATGAAAGGAAGTTCCAGAAGTTGCAGGAGAAGACCGATTACGTGCGGCGCGAGTTCAACCTGCCCGACACGGAAGACGTCATTCAGGGTACACGCTCCTCCCGAACATGTGATGCTTCTTTATTTAATTTAAATTATTTGGTGAATTAACAGCTAATAATCATTTGCAACAATCTCTCTACATTGCGCAGATTACTTTTGCCTGTGGGGTGCGGCAAAGGGACGTCTCTACGTGACGGAGAATCACATGTGCTGGGCCTCCTCAATCACCTCTACCACGGTACTCTTCTTTCTAATTTATGGATTGCTTTCAAGTACACGTTTTTGCTGCGCCGTTGTACCCACGTTTTGCTCACCTCTCTTGCTACTTCGCCTTTGGCCTTGTTGGTGGCAAAAACAGGAGAAAATATCGTTTCGCAAGGTCACGCTGATCAAGAGCGCCAAGACGCTCGGGCTTGTGAGCAGCGCCATCGACATCTCCACCGCCACCGAAAACGTACATGTCCTCCTTCTACTACAACTACAACTTCTTCTTCTTCTTCGATGAACATCATCACACCCGCGGTTCGCCCTTACGCCCGTCTACGTCTGTCGCACGCAGTACCACTTTTCCTCGTTCGTGCATCGGGATGAGACGTTCAACCTGCTGATGCACCTGTGGCACTACCCGCCCACCTTCATCTCCATTGAACCCCCCGAGCCCCGCAGGTGCGTACACCCTTTACTCACTCACCCACCCACCCAAAGGCCGACACCACCACACCACCACCTCACCATCGCCCACCCGCTCTGCTGTGACCTGCCCCAGGATCGCCTCAGCGCTGCCTGCGCCTGCGGGCGCCAGCGGAGCCGAGGCCGGCGGACGGGCCGACGGCGGCAAGGCGTCGTGGAGGCAGAGCGGCGCGGTCCGCGGGGGCGCCGGCAAGGGCTGGGGCGCTGGCGCCGGCGGTGGTGCCGATGGCTGGGGCGACAGTGACGCTGGCGGCGGCGGCGGGGGTGGTGGAGGCGGCAGAGGAGGAGCCTGGGGCGGCAGTACCTCCAGCTCCAGTACGGGCTGGAGCGCTAGCGGCGGCGGCGGCGGAGGTGGCGGTGCGTCCAGTGCTGGCAACTGGTTCGGTGGTGGAGGTGCTTACTCCCTTACTCTTCGTCGTCTGCGTGCGTGTGCGGTGGTGCGTGTGCGGTGGTGCGCGCTGGCGTGACCTGCGACTGCGACTGGCCAGTGTGTGTGAGATTAACTATGTGTGTTGTTTTTTTTGTTTTTTTTTGTTTTT